TAGCTCTGGTTATGTTTTTATCCCTATCATTAGTATTATTAATACTATTAATTTTTGTTTTTCTCCCTCACTGTTGTGCGCTCGATACCCGCGCGAAGCACCTTTGCACGATAGAAGCGTAATGCGTTTTCGCGTGAAACGATAATTTACAAGATTAACGATTAGCATTCCTTACCCGTAAAGATCAAGGGGCTGGAGCCACCGCCCTCGTTTAGCCGCTGGTGAGCTTTCTAAATATGACGTTCGAGTCCAGAAACCGTGGCGCGATTTCTCTGTTTCTCTCTGTGGCGAACAGACTGCAGATGTTCACGCGAATTTACATTTCTATACATTTATTCGTAAAAAAAAAAAATATATATATATATATAACTAGAGATTCTTCTTATTGGGCTTCAAAATAAAATAGAAACTTTACCGAATCTGGCTAAAATTTGTCATTTTAGCCGATGCAAATGCAAAAGATTCACAGTCTATATACGTGGTAAATCCCCTCTATTCGAGGAAGAGACGAAGGGAAACACGTGGTTTAGAGCAACGCGATAATTTGTCGACGAATTCAACAACCGATACCCTCGATAAAAGCGACAACAGACTAGCCGAAATGAAAATCAACCCACCCTCTCTCTTGCTTTTTTTGTCTATGTTTAGTCAACTTTATCCTTTAGGAAGATGCTTCGATGAAACAACAAACAGATCGATGTAAAAACTTTAGAAGACACTTCGTACACTGAAATCAACAATAACATTTTCAGTATGAAGAACTTTTAACGATCAATTAAACGGTGGGTTCGTGTCCGGCGTACGGTACCGATTAAAAGTCTGGAATCAATTTATATTGCAACGCACTTTAAACGATGAATCATTCGAACGGAAATCTATGTATACACTCAATGTAGCATAAGAAAAGCAAAGGCACTGAAATTTAACAGACAATTAGTGTAACGATAAGAACAATTTTTTGTTTAATTCGTTTGTGATATATTTATATTTTTGTAGTTATTAATATTTTCCTGTGATTTTTTTGAAACCATTCGAGTTTATTCTGCGAAATGAATTTAAACTATGTACGTAGACTTTTACGTTTTACTTCCTGTAAAAGGATATGAGATCAGATGTAAAACATACGAGAAACAGTAGGAAGTTGCGGTTTTGTAACCACAGGTTCAGTCTCACGAATTAAATGGACTGGCTGACGTAGAAGCCGGCGTAATTGAAATGGAATATTTTACATGAATCCAAATAACAGAAGTAATGTTTTGAAACGAGCACAACTGAATCATACAACGAAGTTTGATATAGAATTGCTCGGTTTGAATAGCAATCAAATTCTACTATTCCACATTTAAAATATTCCAAAATGTTCCAAGTGTTTTAAATTAATCCCAAGACAAATTATAGAGTTCATTTAGAGCAAAACTAATTCACATCCGCTGAAGAATTTTCAGTACATCATAAAAATAAATTGTGAAAAAATGAAAATGAGTTAAAATAACGGATACTAATGGACCAAATCTTGTTATAATAAAATTTCGCAAACGGTCGAGACTATCCCAGGTTCACCCTGAAAGCTAATAAATTTTTCCATTCGATTCCCAAACATTTAAACGTCAACGTACGCGCGCGTCTGTGTAGGACGAAACTCCTGAACAATTCAAGAACGCGCAAACGAACAAAGAACAGTTCTGACGTCGTCCGTTCGAATGCTCGCACGCGACGTCATGGTTCCCGAACGCCACCGGGAAACGAGAGTAACATTTCAACGTTAAAAAACATTACGTCCCAGGGACGACGGTGTGGTTCCGAACAAAAACGTCACAACAATCTAAACTATCCTAATCTCTGTAAAATTCGATCAACCGTAAAATGAAGAATTTCAACCCGCTCCGCGCGCGTTTCGAACACTATCTTGGATGACCAAAGACGAGTTTAAAAAAAAAAAAAAAAAAGAAAAAGAAGACAAAATAATGGAGAACGACGCACACACACGGGAACACATTTAAAACAGTCGTCGTTAATCGATCATTCTAAAACGAACGTAACACGAACACTGGGTGTCCCGTTTTAGTCGAACCGTTTTTGGTCACCGTTGAAATTTCGAACATCGAAAGGTACATTTCACGTTAAAAATCAAAGACCTGTGCAAAAAATCATGTGATTCGAGAAGATATTCAGAATCTGCTTAGATGTATACTGAAATATTGATTAAATTGAAACTGAAAATTTCTGTGAAGTGAACAAAGTTGGTGCAAAAAAAAAAAAAGTTGTACAATGACATACATTACATTCAAGATGAAAGGTTTTTCTGAAATACGACGTGTCGATCGATCCAGAGTGATGGAAAATATTTTCGGGTGCACAGTGAAATATATCCTAAATCAACAGGGAATTCTTCGGCGAGAAATAGTACTATGATTGATACAGAAGGAAACTGAAATATTTTTATCAAACTAAAACTGATCTTTTCTTAAATTTCTCTTCGATGTACTCGAGCAACCTTCGAACTTACATTGAACTTTGTACAATAATCTGAACATTATTTCCAACGAAAGAAGTACATGATTAGACGAGAAGACGTCGGATCTTAAGTGAAATCTTCAGAAACTTTTCGATGTTCATCACGTACAAGAGCGACAATGGCCGTCGAGAATCGTTAAGAAACAGGACACCCGGTGTACAGACAGCCACCCAGCAGAGCCCACGAAAAGAAGAATAGAACGGTTTCGTAGGAACGTGACGGGCGTCTTTTTCCGAATTTTTCCCTGCTTAAACCTAAGTTAGTTGGGTAAAAGTCACGCGCGACCCGGTCACGTAAATTCAACGCGTATGGAATTCGATTCGACGAGTTTCGAATTGTTCGATTACGCGTCTCCTGTGCTAAAATAAATTTGTACAGCTTGGAACATAACACGGCGGAAAAGATTCCTAATCGTTTTCGTTTCTCTTCTTTTCTCTCGCGAACAGACACCCGCGCGCAAAATACACCCAAAATGGGGGAAAAAGACGAAATCAAGGGTGGAAATGAAAAAGGAAAAATGACGATGAAAGTCTCGGAAAAAGAAGAAAAAAATGGAAGAGACGAACCGTGAGAGGAAACGAGACAGTACTTTTCGGTGGAAATGCTTGCTTCGTGAGACTTAATTAAGCGCTTTTCCAACGGCGCAAAGGTCATTAACGATGAATGAAAGTACATTGAAAATTATCTCCCCGGAAGAAGCAACTTCCGACGGTAATTAAGAAATACAGGAAAAAATAAAACGGAAACGGCACGGCAAGGAGAAAGAGAAAATTAAAGAAAACGCCCGTGAACGCTCGCGCGCGATAGCCTCTCTTTATTTTGTCCTTTTTTTCACCCCTACCCCCTTTTTTTTAAATTGCGCGCTAGTGAGTTATGAAATTGCCGTGGAATTGAAATAATTTACGGTCTGGTTAAAATTGAAGCAACACCACGCGGGCTCGAATAAAACGGCGAAAGGGTTTTTTCATCCCCTCTCGCCGTTTCCGCTGGCGGACTTTATCGAGAATTCTATTAAACCGCGACTGGTTAGCGCCAGATAAAATTATATTTTAAAAATCACCGAGTTCTAACTCGCATATTAAAAAGGAAACGAAAAAAAAAACTAAATGAAAAAAGAAAAGAAGCGCGAGAAAACCGGCGGATGGTGAACCTCGAGAGCCGCGAATCCCGAAATTGTTAATTCCGATACGGTTCGCTCGAATTCCTTTACTCGATCCCCCCCTCGATTACTTCCGGATTGTTAAGCCATTCGAGGTCTGCCGCGAAATAGAAGGAACAGGACGAAAAAAACAGCAACAGAAAAACTTTAGTAGAACCGGTCGCCTACCGCGTTGTATTAAAAAGTGGCGGGAAATACGAGTATAAAAGAAAGTAGAAACTTACATAAGTAATATATATATATAAAAAAAAACGAATGAAAAAACCGCACTCCAGACCGCCGACAGGGGAACTAAAACGAAATTCTAATAAATCTCAAGTAAAAAAAAAAACCCGTCTGCTCAGTCCTGTGCGCACAAAGTCTCTCTGGTATGTATATATACATAAGTACTTACATATAATTCATACATATATGTATACAAATACACATATATATACAAATGTTCCTCGTGGGTGTGCACGTTTCTGTGCAACATAAAGGAATCTCTGCGTGAAAGGATACGGTAAATAAAAAATACAAAACAAAAGAAGAAGAAGAAGAAGAAAGGAGAGAGAACCGATTCGAACGGAAAATTGGCAGGTCCTGTGTGTGTGAATGTGTGTGTGCATAATATTATCGATGAACAGGCGCGTGTGTGAAGCCCCTACGCGAAGAGATATATCGACAAATAGAAATATAATCTTGGTAACGTCTCTCGTAGAGTTAACAATAATAACAGATTCCTTACGAGATGATCATTTAATATATAATATGTACAAGCTACGGTTTTGGTTTCCTCTTTTTTTTCTCTCTCTCTCTCCCTTTTACATCCCCGTTCGTGTTTCCTCTCTTTTTCTCACCTGTCCACGCGGACGTGTCGAGGATCGGACAATCGATCGGTGCGTACTTAAGAACTGCCGAAAGTATTCTCGAAGAATAGGCTCGACGGGGACCACGACGCGCCTCCGGTGAAACCTAAATCGTTGCGTGTGGTGGTTGGTTGCCACCTCTCTACTACCCGCGGACCTTCGATCGTCCTCGACATCTTACGAACAGAAAGGACACCGAATCCCCCCCCCCCCCATTTTGCGACCAAGACCTCGTGATTGTCGAACAAAGCAGCAGATGCTCCCATTTTGTCGCCAAGGGAAAAGAAAGGTCACACGCTCTTTCTCGCGCGTCTTGACAGCGTATATATGTATATGGATGTATGTATGTATATGTGATTCGTGCGTGATTCACGCAACAGTCTATAAAATCTGCGAAACAATGGAGAGACACGGAACAAGAATGAACATATTTATTTCTAAGCGAATTCCGTTTAAAAAATATATATAATGTACGAGAAGAACGAGAGAATTTAAATGCGGACTAAAACACGCTCGTAACAACAACGGATAATTCTCTGTTTTTTTTTCTCTTCTTTTTCACGCGTTCGACATGAGAACCGTGCATAAACCCCAACTTCTTTTCTTTCTTTTCTTTGTGCCCTTCCGCCTGCGCGGTAGAAACGAGAACGTATGTATATTGGTATATATGTATGTAACGACAGACCGAAATGGGGCGGCGATTGTATTCTATTCGTTTTGGAAGTAATGTAACCGATAGAATCACCGAATGGCTCTCGTCACACACGCTTCTAAACACCTAGATAGCCTGATTGGACAGTCTTCGATTCAAAGAGAGGATTGCGTTCCAAGAGAAAAATGGACTATTAAAAATGAATATTCAGCACATCTTTCTCATATCTTCTTTGTTTCTTTCTTTTATCGCGTGCAGAAGCTGTAATTGTACTCTCTCCCTTTCTCTCGCGTAACTTCTTAATCGTTCTTTAAAAACACAGCTCTGAAAGCTTAGCGACAGAGTGAAAAAAAAAAAATATATATATATATATATATGTGTGTGTGTGTGTATGTATATATAATGTACGTTTTGATCGAATTATCAGCTTAACTTCGCGTGGAACAAATTACTAGACCTACCTAAAATGTCGCGTTTCTTGTTTTGCTTTCTTGTTTCTTTTCTTTGCTTTTTTTTTCTTGTTTAACTACTTATTTAAATTACTAGCGGCTTGCCGATGAGACCAGAAGTAAGACTCGTCGATTCGCTGCCGTCAGTCCGACGCTTCACAGCGCGTGTCATGTTGCTACACATATCGATCATCCGTCGTGGTAACGTTCCCAGTCGATGGTCATACCATTACCATGTCCTCGTCGACGCTGATGATCGTGGGAAATGCATTGTCCGCGGAACTCTGCCTCTGGATTGGTTTCTTTCTTACTAGACCGTCTGCAAGCAGACATCATGCTAAACGGGTCAACGTTTTGTTTTACTTTCTATTCTTTCGTTTAATGCAGCAAAACTACCATTGTCGGAGCAACTATTATCAGAGAAGAGATACGTTTCGTTTTTATTGTGCTGAAACATTTTTGCGCTGCGGTAGATGTTAATTCTGTATTGTAACGTAAGAATTGCGTTAAAGAAGAGTGAACGTGTTACGAATTGCAAAAGTAAACTAGAAACATCAGTTTATGTATTAAAAGTTTAAACGGAGCAAATATGTTTTGTGAAGAATTCTGAGAGCAGGGTACCAAAGAAAAGTCTAAGCATCAACACTCAAATTTGGTAAAAAAAAATTCATAGCACTAGAAAGTTAGAAGTTGCAGAAACTGTGAGATCTTAAGACAACTGTTTCTTATTATCGTGTTTTAATAGATGTACATTGTCGTTGGCAAAAAATTTCGAACGGTTATGTCGGCTCGTTAATTCGGTTAATAGAGATTCCACTGTAATTGCACTTGTACTTCCTTTGTATGTTATTATGTAACAGATGAATATTTTTCTTGTGAAGAAATCTGAACAGAATCTAAATAAGGAATATCCTTTAAAACGGAATCCGTCGATGCTAGGTATGACTCCGGGATTTGATCGGAGTAGTCGAACGAAGGATTCGACTTTGAATTTCGACAACAGAAATCCGATCGGCTGATTTCTTCCTTCCTTCTAACATACAGGATGTTCCACTTTGAGCAATCCGTACAAATACCTTCGAAATTATTTGATGCGTCACAGAAAAATTGAGAAACTCCAATCGTTACACGTCGCACAATAGATAGATATACCCTTTCATAAAAGGCGGAACTCCTTTGAACGATGCAAAGATATTCATTGAGTGTGCCAACGAGTAAAAGAAATATTGTAAATTTAAATAAGCAAAGTAACTAAAAGAGAAAAATTCCTTCGACTTTATAGATCGTGTAATTGGAACAGAATTAATTAAACGCTCAAGGTCTCTGAAGAGTATCTCCACTATACCGTTTAGCTTACTCCGATCTCTAATAACAGCTCGAACAGCTTAAACAGCTTATACCCGCTAACTATCTCAAACTTCACAGTAAATATAAAAGTTAAAATCGTATTAGTGCACCACTGCGTACGTGAAACTTCAGCTCGTTAACAGTTAAACTGAACTTTAACAAAAATAAAAAAGAAGGTTAATCGGTTGAATTAGACAACGTTTGTCAAAACTACTTTTCAACGAATGTAAACCATACGAAACAAATTATTCTACAAAAATATTGACATTCCTGTCAATACCTTTAGAGACAAAGAGAATCTGAGTAAGTTTGTAGCTACACGGGATTTCGAAAATGACCTAAACATTGTCCATAATAAACTCCAGCTTCCTTACTCTGTCTCTGTAGTCCAGATCCGCGAGCAGCACTATTCTAAAACTAATGAAAAAAGAAAAATTTACCGGCAGAGGATGGAAGTAGATCATCGAGAGACCCATCGTCCAAGTCGGTGGCAGAGAGAAGTAGATCGTCGTCCGAGGAAGCTCTCGTTAGGCTGGGAAGAGTCGAGGTCAGCAATGCCTTTTCCTTCTGGATCTCCTGTATGTGATCGACAAGAAGCGCCTCTTCCTCGTCGCCCCGATCCCTATGCCGATCCGCGGTACCGCCTCTCGCGGCCACGTTCGATACAGCCGCGTTCAATTCCTCCGGGCTGAAGATCTTCGAGGATCGCAAGCTGGACAAACGATGAGTCGCCGTGTGACAGGCGGACTCGAGAGTATTTATATCGGCCAGGGTCGCCCGCACGACCCTCAGTTTCTCTTGGACGATCGTCTCGACGCAACAGGTCTGCCGGCCAACGTCTTGCAGCGAGTCCTGTGCAGGCAGGGTCCTACTGGTCCTCAGGATGCACGGGGCGAACACGATCGCCAGGGCTGACGGGGACATACGATTGTCGACCTCGTGAAGCGCGACCCTCGCCAGATGAACGATCAACCGTTCCATCAGATCGAAGTTCGGTTTCGGTAGCTTTTTCAGTATGGCGAACAGCGTGCTGATCCGATCCCGTGGATCCGTCAAGTTAGCAGCGTGCAGAAAATCGTCGTAATACTCGAAGGTCAACAGAGGCTCGGGCATATCCCGGAAGAAGCTCTTCAGCACAGCCGCGAGCACGTGCACTTGGTAATTCTCGAATAGAACCTTCTCCAAATCACCCTCGTCCATCTTCAGCTTCAACTCTTTCACTTTCGAACTGACACCGCTCTACCGGTATATGCCCTCAAGTCCAATTTGTACAGGGGCACGCCGAACACCTTTCGCGAGTTCGCCTCGTGCAACGCTTCCTTTCCGCACTCCGCCGACGCTTTCATGTAGCACTTCTTGTGACATGTCAGCTTGCAATCTAAAGGTAAGTATAGGTATGATGGTAAGTATAGTTTTAATTCGATCTGTTTTAGAAGAATAAACTAAAAGCAATTGCAAGAAGGATACTTACTCTGACAAACAAGTCCGCGTTCAATAGGCCACATAAAGAAAGACGTGCATACTTCACAGGCTGTAGGTATATTTATGATAGTCAACTGGAACATGTGATTCCCGTGTCGTGTCGGTTCTTCTTGCTTCCGTTTCTTCTCCTTCTTCCGTTTGCTCTTACTCTGTTTCTCCGGCGCTTCGGTTTTGACTAGCGTCATGAATTCGTTCATGAACCCCCTGAACGCGTTCACTCCCATCGTCACGGGAAAATCTTCACTGGTATTCTCTTGTTTGCAGACCGTCTCCATCACGTGCAGGAAGTTCGCTATCAGATCGGTGTACTTGATGTTGCCCTCGACGCCCTGCTGAATGGCGACGCTGTAAGTGATCACCAGATCGTCTTTAAATTTACGAAGAGCCTGCTTGAACACACGGTCCACTTCGCTGGGTTTTCTACCCTCCGCCTGGCCTTCCATTATGTAGATTTTCTTCGTGATGAAGTCCTGCATGAGCGCCAGCTCCTTGGCATCGGATATAATTTTGTCCGTGCTGTCGGAGAACGCGGAAGTACCGGTCAAACTGAACTTGGACGCGACCGTCTGCTTCGTTGCGTCGTACGGTGTTCGCGGTGGCTTCCTATTTTTCCGTCTGCCGGGAGTGTTCGTCAGGATGCACGGCATCTTAAGTACCCCGCCGTTCTGAATACATTTCACGTGGTACAACTGTTTACATTCCGCACACTTGTACCCCTGCGTGACGAATGCGTCCATCTTCTCGTGGCAACAGACGCACACGTCATCCTTGGCGAACCTCGCAACCTTTCTGAACCGATGGCCGGCCAAGGTGAACAAATTGCCCTTCCATTCCAAAAGATTCATTCCAGGCGCGAGTTTCAAGTCGTTGGGACTTGTATCGGTTCCAGGTTTGTCCTCGCTGAGACCAGATACCTTAGTGGCTGGATCAGAGTTTCTCCTTCTCAGCTCCAATGTCGTTATAGCGTTGGATCTCATACGCCTGCCAGGTTGCTGGGTCTTGGAGGCATTTTCAGTCTTGTTCACGGGCCAGTCTGTTACCGATCTCGACGGGGTTTCGTGCGGGCTATCCTTGCGGGTCCACACGTTCGCAGACTTGTTTAAGTCACTCTCTTTAATCGTGCCCAGGAAGAGGTTCTTCGCCTCGCCACTGTTTGAATCCGACACGCTCTCGCCCATGGACCAACAATGGAATTCTCGCGAGGGTCGGTTTCTTCTTGCACTTCTGACAGGCACGTCAGGCTCGGATTTCTCTTTTGGCCTTGAATTTTTCTCTTTAGGCGATGTCCCCTTCAACAGGGGACTCTTCAAAATGTTTTCATCGTTCACGGAATCCAACTTGATGGACGTGTCTCCTTCTGAATTTTGTCGTCTTAAGTAACTGAAATCTTTCAGGTCTTTACCATGACCGTATCCATGGTCCCGTCTAATTGGAGACGCTGGAACGCTTTCCAGTCGTTCGCTGGACATGCTGTTGTCACTGAGTCGACGCTGTTCTCGAGCCGACGATCTCTCCATGTGAATGAAACGTTCGTTTGTATCCAGTTTCACGTTAAAGTTCGACGCCTCGTTTGGCTTCTCGTGCTGTCCCGGTTCTATTATGTTGTCTGTCATATTCTTGCATTGCGAAACATTCGCGGAACGCGTTAATGCTGTCTTCTGAGGACCAGACATTAAATAGTCGCTGTAATTGATAGACGTGAAGTCTGCTCTACGCCGCCATATGTCTGAGTTTGGACTATGCGTCAAGTTAATGTTGGACTGATGATATTTAATCTCTCGTGGACACGGGAACGACGGTGCAGTACTGAAGACTGGTGGTGCGCTTTGTACTGCGCTTGGTATTTCCGAGTCGGTTTCTCCATCGCTGTACCCTGTTGATGAACTATCTGCCCGTTTGCCGACTGAGGACAATCGGCTGGAAGCATTTACTAAGTTTGTATTCACTGTTACCACGGGGGAATGATCGCCGCGTTTTGTTCTAGTGCTCGGTATAGGCATTCCAAACTACTCTTACGTTCACTAAACTCCTCGGACGAATAAAGTTCTGTGTTCTTTAATACCGTAATGGATTCATGTAGTATTCTTGCATTCGGTGTAAGTTTACGCTTCGAATATGTCATACTAGTGTCGATAGTGTTGTCCCTTGCTGCACTGTCCACTCTGTGAATTAATAAATTGCTGTAAGTCTTCTTAACACCATCCGCACAACATCATCCAGCAATAGCGATTTTCTAATCAGGTTATTAGTACAGCACTTGTAAAAAGTAAGACTAAACGTGTAGTGATATTTGATGATTGCTCAAACATTCATCAATGCACACACTATTTAAATAAAACGGATTGTAATGCGCGACTGTAAACAAAAACTGTTTAATCAAGATTACACATTATTTGCTTTAACATGTTTTACATGTTCACTTTAAAGTTCTTTATTTCGATCGACAATGCATTTTATATGGTGCCTCTTCCTTTTGATAACAATCAATCTTTCAGTCTCATAAATATTATAAAATAAATACACACGGCTCAAATGGAAAATCTTCAAAAAGTAGCGTGGTACGGGCCATGTTAACATGTTACAACTTTTTAAAAAAAGGCATTTACTTACCTTGCTGGAGTGAAACGATTTTGGGAGTCCATTTTCCGAATCGTACTAAAATCCAGCAACGTATGGTCTTCCGTGAGTGATCTAAATGTTACACAATTCTATTAGTACTATTCGTATCAGCTGTGTGTAAAAACGATTAATAATTAAATTTCACTTACTCTTCACTATCCCTAAGCTTTGAGTACACCTTGCTGTTATCATATGTAAGCTCTCTTTGATCTTGAATCTCCTTGTATTCTCCAATTTTATCAACAAGCAAATTCTTTCGCTTCTGCAGCTGAGCAAAAGCTTTCCTTGCATTGTTGCCCCTGACATGGGCTTGAAAAGTAATTATAGACGACTTGAACTTTTTGAACCACTGTTGCTGTTTGTACGATCTCCAACCAGATTGTATGTGAGTAGCAGCTTCTACCCTAGCACGCAGAGAGTGGGCAAGTCTTTGAGCAATGATCATTCTCCAAAAAGACTGTATTTGCACGACAGCCTTTTTCAATCTGAGGAACTTTCTTCTTTCCAGGCAGGCGCGGAACCACTTTTGTATTGTTGTGATACTTGTGATGATCTGCTGATGCAATTCTATATCTAATTTGATTTTTTCCGATTCTCTCAGGAAAACTTTAGTCGTTCCGAGCTGATAATTGTCTCTGTTAAGATTCAGTGTCAGCAAGAAGTCTCTAACGTCGGACTGTGAACTTAACAATCCCTTGGGTAGCAACATTCTGTACAGTTGGATAAACTCTTCGTATGTTAATCTAACATTAAATCCAGCTTGTCTTATTCTGACTGTTTCTAACATTCCTGTGTATCTTAATTGTCGTTGCACAGTTTCCTCGTCGAATTCATTTGGTACCTTGTTGGCGTTGCTTTTAATGCATCTGATGAAGAAAGGATTTGCTTGATTTAAGGTGTCCATGAGACTGTGTAAGCTCTGTTGAAATTGTGCCGATACTGTCATGGGTTGTTTTCTTGCTTTGCCGGGTCCACTGCCATAACTTTGTGTTCTTCCAGCTAGGGTCTTTACAGTTTGAAGATTTTTTAAACCCTTCTTGCCACGTTCTCTGGGTCGAAATGATTTGTTTTTCCTGTAATATCGTCAAAATTTAATCTATTAATAATGAGCAATTCTTTTGAAATTCCTTTTCCCATTTTTAAATTCCTATTAATGAGCATAAATCACAAAGAATATAAGTTTACATTTTTATAATTAGTTACATGTTTTATCAGGACTTGTATTGTATTATAAATTCATATAATGCAAAAACAGGAAAAGGAGAATATGTAGTCCATACAATGACATTTATGGCATTGCAAATATGTTTATTAAACGTATTGTAAAGTAAGAAACATTTAGCAGAATATGATTATGATTGGTGTATTTTAATTATGATAGCAAGTGTAAAAGCATATGGAAATAGATACGACTGTGTATAAAGATAGTCCATTAGCAGATATTTTCGGAAATCCGGAAAAAGTATGTGAGAAATGCAACTTGCTTTTAAACTAGATGTACGAATACTGTGAACTATATGCACTTATACCAAGCAATTTGCAAACTTAGTGAACTACTAACATTAGGGCTGAATCTCTTTGCTGGTCTACAAATCAATAATTTGTTAGGATCTTCTCTTTTAAATTCTAATATGTAAGTTATATCGTGCAAGAAATTACAGTTAGATGCTAGTAGCAAAAGAGCAAAAGTTTGTAAGATGAAAAGCTCAGTGGCAAAAGGATTTTCTGAAATCAATTTACTTGCTGCATTGAACAGCATATAATACAAATTAACCCATTAGTATATATTGAGTACAAATATATATAATTTTAGAAGCACGATACGAACATTTACGTTCTTTTTAATCTTTAATGTGCTTGAATTACAAATAGGATAATTTGCACAATCTCAATTCGAAAAGTGGAAGAACTACTGTTGTGAAGTCAGCATGCATTAAATTGTAGCTAAAATTATGAAAAAAGATTAAACATGACGACTAAGACAGTACAAGTAAGGGATAATGATCGTGAATTTTATGGCACATTCAAAGGAGATGTCTTTCGTGATATATTTCTGTACGATATGAGTACATTCTCTAAGAGAATGAACACATCCATGAAAAGCCGTAATATGATATTGCACGGGAAGACCATTAATATCCTATTAAGATGCTGTTACCTATGAAAAAGAAATCCTTCACCCAGAAATCACTATAGAGCACACACTACCTTTGTATCGTAGAGCAGTGAGTTTTCGTAGCTTAAATTATAAAATGTTATCGACTATAAGTAGCTGCAGTTTACATACATGACTATTTGATTAGCGCGTTCCATGACGTTTGCTTCGTCTTTTGGAAGCACCCTCTCTAGCGGAGTATGAGTATCTCGTCTGAGTTTATTATTACTATGAGGCTGGTCTTCCCTGCCCCTTATCAAGTAACCCTTCATCATGGTTACATTGGACGGATGTTGCGTTTGATTAATGTTTCGGAATTGTGGCCACGACAATCGGTTGTTGTTTACATTGTCGTTGTTTTCGAGTTGTATAGAAGATAATGTGGTAGTGGGTATTGTTGATGGTATACAGACACTGCGCTGCTTCTGATAGCTTGGTGGACGATTATGTTTGTGCGAACTGAAAAAGTCTCTCATGCTTAATTTCATTTTTTTTTTTCGTTTCTAATTGCGTTTATATGTAACTATATAATAACTATATTTAAATCGAATAAATACTGATCTCATCAGCGAGTGTGGACGGCGAGGTGACTTTAACAAATATTGGTCTCATGAGTGACTCCGATGGTATAATGCGTATTTTAATGACTGATTATGAATTGTATAAATAAACAGTTATTTTGAATTGTTAATCATGCTTAAGAATAATAGCAAGTACATCATTAAATGACAAAATGTATTGGTATAGTGAAAGTCATGAGGATTGCACTCTAATCACACTTAATACAAAAAGGTGCATACATATAATTCTAAACAATATCTTTAACACACAAGACTGGAAAAAAATGTATGGATTTACAAGTTCGTATAATTTAATATTTCTATCATGAGTCGATCGATATTTCAACCTTAAGTGTTTCTAGTGGGAATATAATGTTAAAAAAAAAAAAACAAACTCTGTAAATCCATAGAATACCTTATTCTAAAAAGAATGTAATGTTTGCCAAAACGACACATACAGTGGATCCAAAAGACCACTTACGCAATTCGGTTAATAGTTAGATTGACAGTCGACAACGTCACAAGATGGCTACAGGGACAAAAGACATGTGGCCAATGTAAATATAATTAACGTTTCCTTGAATGTATACACATAGGAACTTCTTCAGCGTGATGCAAATATTATTAACGCACAGCGTAGATTTATGTACTTTTGTAGGGTGAGATAAAATATGCAGATTAAACACAGTAAAAAAAATAAGCGCAACAACATTGGCATCTGTTTATATCACGATCATTATTATTCAACTAACAAACGTTGCCATGTCATGAGTATACAAGCATTTTAATCTTTCGTTTTGAGTCACCCTGTTATAAGAGCAAAAATAATTAAAAAATAAATAAATAGAAAATTAATGTATACCTTATTAAATTCTCGTTCGGCGTCCTATACCTGTTTTGTACAGATGCTTTTGTACCATCAGCTGCAAAAAAATAAAAATACATATTCTTTAATATTGATTTAAAGACAACACATTGATACGAAAGTGATATTTATATTAATATTAATATTAATATTAATATTCTGTAACACTGTACCTCGACCATGTCTGTGAACACGACCAGCTTCTTGAAAAGCAAAATGAGCCCGAAAAAATGCTCGCAGTATAGCCCATCTAAATACTGCAACTGGATCTGCACCCACTAACTCCCGGACAAAAGCAAGAGAAGAATTTTTCAATACGCCAACCACGCCGTCAGGTCGCATTAAATCCAAGTTCTTTTCTCTCATATTAGCAGCTTGGTATTTAACAGCCCCTGCATAATGTCGTACAACAAAGGCTGCTTCGCGTCGTTGTGGTGCCTCGTAGAATGGATTGTCTTTATGTACTGAATTAAATTTTTGTAGTAATGTCTCATTCGTTGCACCCGGAAAACTGTTACAGATATTTTTATTATTTAATCAACGGTATTGATTGATCTTTATAAAACGAAATGAAATTCAAAGACTCACTTGCACTGATCGTCTAAGAGACAAAGAAGACCATTAGGTTTTCCTTCTATTAAGTTTAAACAGCCTGAATTGTCACTATATCCTATATCTGTCCATCTAATTCCCTGTTTTCTGTACTCTCGTTGCTCGTATTGAAATACATGTTGATTGAAATAATGTTGCAGTTGCTCGTTCGCGTAATTTATACACAATTGTTCAAAACTATTGCACGTTTTAAAATCCTCGAAACCAAAAATATCTAGCACACCTATACTATTGCCTTGATGATCTCTGAGAGTGTCTTTCTTTGAAAGTAATGCGTGATTCACCTGAAATTCAATATTTTTTGTTACTGTGCATGGTTTATGAGTGCATAATTCGCAAAATAAAAAAATAAAATGAAATCTTACCTGCAGAACGATCCAATCAAATAAAGCTCCATATAGACATTTGGCCATGGCATCCCTTGCTGCAATTGCTTCTGGAAGCCTGTAGTTAATAACCAAAGTTTCCCCCGAAGCTCTAGCGCGTTTAGCAGTAAGTGCAGCTAAAAGAGTCTCTTGTTTCACTCTAAGGAGTTCAGATATTAACGCTACTACTTCCGGATTCTTAACACCTACAGCTTCATCGTGGTGATGATAAGATTTTCTAGGTTGAAACTCCACATTGCCTAAAACAATGGAAATATGATTAGTTTAATTCCATAAAGCATTAAGATAATTTCTTAATCACCGAGTAGAAGAACAGCTGACAGAACGGCGAATAATCGTCTCTGTTTTTCTGGCGTGAATCCAACCATCTCCATAGATTGTTTCAGTCTTGAAAATTCGTGTCTTTCATCAATATTCTCCAGTCCGTAACAGCCACTTTTATTTAAATAATTATAACGATCACAATTTTCTAAATGCAGAAGTTGCTTTTCTTGTTCATTTGCTCCAGCCAAAAGGTAATAAAATACATGGTAATTCCTTTCATTTCTTCCTTGGGAGACTATTCTAGACTTTTCCAGAAGATACTTTTGCACCACAGCCCTAATAATTTTACAACAGATTTTAATGTTTTATCGGGTAGATATTATATTTACAAACTGCTTACCCATGCACCATTCCATTTTCCTTGTAATTCACTTGGATAAATTTCCCGAAACGACTACTATTATTGTTATGCGCTGTTTTCGCATTACCAAACGCTTCCAACACAGGGCCAGCACTGAGTATTGTCTGTTCCACACCGCTGCCGTGTGAACCCTTCTGACTGAGTGCCGTTAAATGGTGCAGTAGAAAATTTGTTGATTCCGTTTTACCTGATCCACTCTCACCGCTAATAACAATGCATTGATTTCGTTTCTCTTTAAGCATACAGTGATAAGCAGCATCAGCTATGGCAAATATGTGCGGAGGTATGTCTGGCCCCAATCTTCTATTTTGGTAGAGTTTCACATATTTTGGATTGTAGATAGGATAAAATTTAAATGGATTCAATGCGATCAAGATGCTGCCAACATAGGTATATATGTTTCCAGCTAAAAACCTAGCCCGGAGGTTGTCCAGCAGAGTCTGTTCATTAAGGTCTGGAAGTTGACACAGATCTGGATATTCTTTGTCACGCGGCTGATACAGGAATCTATTAAAGTAGTCCTTTAGAAGTTGTGGATCCATCGGAAATCTACTATCTGACCATAAATCCGGCTGTTTCTTTCGTAAGTAAAACCTAAACCAGGAATATAAAGAGACATGTTAAAACATTGGTACGATTTCTCCATTATACATTCCTAACTGGCTTTCCACGCACCTATAGTATTCTTGTTGTGCTGCATTTTTGGGCCATAATAACATAAGTGCTACAGGGCACTCAGTTGGCCCAAGTCTTCTTTCCTTACATTCTTGCCCAACAGAGTTCCCTACTACTTCTGCTAATTCATATCCATTGGAAACATTAGCATCAACTAAACCAAGTCTTTCGATTATGCACTCCACAATCTCAGCTGATGAAGTTTGTTTTGTAGCTTTAATGGAAAGTGCTTCATATTCTGGGCTCCATTCACCCACAAATACTTGCACCACTCCAGAGCAACAGCTGTCCATTTTTTTAACCCTAGAATATTATTAATAGGGTTAACAAAGTTCTCCTCTATCATCCATGCAGAATTTCAAATGTATTATTTCTATTTCTTTCTGTTTTTCAATTATGTACACCCACTGATGCAAACGTTTAAAGTAACTTTTACACATTTTGTTTTAAAATGTTCACTATTACAATCTTACTGATTACTGGACTTATTTACAGGTATTGTTTACATTAAGTTATTTTATTGAATTTTGTCAAATGCACTCAAACTTATTCAATACTCATAAACTAAAAGACTGTATTTATATATATATATATCTATAT